GACCCAGCTTTCTTCTATCTTTCTGTTCTATCTTTGTAACAAGTGGTCTCCATCCTCAAGGTCACCTCATGGTTCAAGGTAGCTGCTGAAGCTTCTGTGATCACATATAAGTCGTAGTCTTCAAGGAAGAAAAACAGAATGAGGAAAAAGAGAAAGTCAAAAAAGGAATTCCCCCAGCTGTTTTCTAAGCAGTCTTTGAGGAAGCCCCTTCCAAAAACGTCTCCTTACATCCAGTTAGCCAGAACTTAGTCATATGGCCAAACTTAGCTGCAAAGGAGGCTGGGAAGTGTAGTCTTTTGCTGGGCACGTTGCCACCTCTCCCTCTCCCCCCAGTAATATACACCAGCAGTTCTCAACATTTTTGGTCTCGAAAACCCTTTATACCTGTAAAATTTACTGAGGAACCCAAAGAACTTTTGTTTATGGACTATCTATTAGTATTTACCATTTACTATATTAGAAATTAAAGCTAAAAAAGCATAAAATATTTGTTTATTCATTTAAAAATTATAATGCACATATCAAATCATCACATCGTACACTTTAAATATCTTACAATTTTTTGTCAGTTCTACCTCAATAAAGCTGGAAAAAAATTAAAACAGCTCCAGGACCTTCAAAAATATTAAAACATGAAAATTACAATTTTAAACTCTTTCTGTATTAAATAGCATATTTTTCCAAAGGAAAAAAGAAAATGAGAAGTGATATTGTTTTCCATTTCTGCAAATTTGTTTATTATCTTACTTAACAGAAGACAGCCAGACTCTCATATCTCATATCTGCTTCTGCTTTGAATCTGTTGCCATGTGTTGTTTTGGTTGAACTGTATGAAGAGAATCTGGTCTCACACAGATGTGTAGTTGGAAAATACAGAAGTATTTTAAAAGCTTTTCAGGTAATTGTGGATATTCCTCTTGGATACCAGACCAAAACCCAGGTGGTAAGTTCTGAAAAGCTAGTTGCAGTGTGGAATCTGAAATTGTATCAATGAACATTTTGTACTCTGTTACATTAAAATCCATTGGTCTATCTTGTACACTGAGTTCATTTTTCCCACACATGATTTTGTAATATCATGTCGTGGTCATGTGGAAAATATTCGTTCACTGAGTTATACTGACCTTTCAAATGCTGACACATTTCATTATATAAATTTTCAGAAATTACATTTTAAAATATCAATACCGATCTCAAAAGAAAAGTCCAATTTTGGAGAAGTTGTCAAGCTCACGATGACAAATAGAAGTTTTCAAAAATTCTAATTTTCACTTGGAAGGTTGAATGTTGTCATTGGCAACAAACACTGTCAGTTATTTCCCTTGAAGTGACAGGCTCACTTTGTTCAGTTTTGAGAACGTCTGCCAAATGCACGAGTGAATAACTATGGTGCCTCCTGCCACAGGCCTTCGAGGACCACAGGGTAGGCTGGGAAGTCGGTTGGGATGTCACTTGAGCACAGGGACCAGAAAGGTGACCCCCAAGGATGAGCCCCCCCGCCATGGCCTCCAAGGGGCTCTAACGAGGCACAGACACACTCTAGCCTAAACCTGTCCTCTTTGAGCTTTGTAGACAGCACGCAAAGCGATCTATTTGCCTTCTGAAAAATTCCAAGCATGCTTGTGTGGCTCCTGTTCAGGCTGTTCAGGGATTAGGGCGTCCTTCCTGGATGAGGTGGGATCAGACCAGCCCCACAGGCTCCGGAGGAGGAACCCCGGACCAATTCCAGGACAGAAAGGAGCAGGGGGGGCTGCTGTAGCCACGATTCCCTCTCACACCCACTTGGGGTGGGGAGGGAGGGGAAGCATGCAAAGGTAATCCCTGGAGCCCCTTCTGATGAGGAATCCGTTCACTTAGGTTGCTCTGTTTCACCTCTGAAGGTACAATGGTGGTGGCTCTTTGGTAAGTGAATGGCTGTCTGCTGTGAACAGTTTTTCAAGTGTGAAGGAGGAATCTGGGTTGAGACAAATCATCCGAGGAAGAACCACGTGGAATCGGATTCATGACTCTGTGCGCTGCCGTTACACTGACGTTGGTCAGTGTTTTACCCCATGGGCAGAGGACTTAAGCAACAACATATATGTGTGAAAATTCTTTCACGTACACAGTGAAAGCTCTGTTCTCTCCCCCAGAGACTTTGTGTGTGTGTGTCTATATAGAAGTGTTACTCATATTACATTGCCTTGTGTCCACATAGATGTATGCATACATACCACATTTGTTTCTGTGTCTTGTGTGTGTTTACCTGTTACATGTATAAGCAGCAGTGACAATGAAAATCATTTATCCTTGGACTCAAGAAGGTGAGGTTAACATTAAAAGCACATGGAGAGAGATCATTTCCTTTTCTTCCTGTATTCTAAAAATAATTTTATGAACAGGCAATATTATGAACATGATAAAACATTTATTAATTAGCATGAATTAAAGTGAAAAATAAGTCTCCCATCCTCTGCCCCAGACATGATTATTACCAGTTTTTAAGTCTTCTTCAAGAGATATTCTATATATTTAAAAAAGAGTATGCACACACAAACCCCTTTTTAAAAAAAAAAAATGTGTTCTTTTAAACTCATGGAAGGTTAAAACAGGAAAATCACATAGCTTCATCTCCAGCCCCTTGTGTGTAAGCACAGACTCCAGCACACATATTTGTGTCTATGATTTACACATGTGTAGGTTTTGTGCTGGAGGAAAAATTCCTTGTTATAAGAAAACTTCTGGAACCTAGAAAACTGACTTCCTTCCCAGTTCATCTGGTTATTAATCTTCCTAAAAGCGCAAGACAAATAAAATCCCCATATCTGAGACCTTTGTGGTATCCCAGAGGCAGGTGAGAATCATTCCCATGGAATTGTCTTCACTTTCTGATTTGTCATCAGTTCTTAGGAGCAATCCAGTAAGGGTTTATTTAGTACGGCTCTCTGTTGATTTTATAACCAACTGCTGACTGCTTGGGACATAAAACTCTTGATGATTTACAAGTAGTGAGTGGGAAAGAAATCCATAAATCACATTCAATAATAAGAAGGTGTAGGTGAACACACACACACACACACACACACACACACGCGCGCGCGCCCCTACACACACACCTTCAAAGGAAGAGTTGTAGGCATGACCAGAAAATATATTTGTTTTTAATTTGAAAATTGAGAACTCATTGGTAAGAGGCCCACAGTCAATAACCTCAGAGAGTTTAATAGTACCAGGTGGTATTTTAATGCAGAGCAAGAGGTTTTATTTCTTAGAGAGAAGACGCTGGTCCCCACTTTTGAAATGTTCAAAGGCGTTTTTATGGTCTCTGGAGTAAAAAACTTTTTTTTTTTTTTTTTCCTAAAAACTTTCACCAACCAAGCCAGGAATACTGATGGTTATCAGTTTTCTGATATTATTGAAACTCTTGAAACTATTATGCAACAAATATTTCTCAGACACTCAAAGATTTTTTTTATGTAATTTTTTTTCTAGACTGTGCTTAGAAAAATCTCTAATAATATGCTAAAAGTAGAAAAAAATAAGTTTCTAATTCCAGGAGAGTCCTAGGGTTTCAGGGAACTGCCAGGGAAATATAAAGCAAAAAACCTTGAAAAACATTTTTTTGGGGAAAGTGAAATTTAATAAATATGATTCTGCTACCATGAATAGTTTGCGAACTCTCTGCCTCCAAAATATAGTATAATATAGACAGAAATTAAGGATCCATTTATCCAAAAGCCAATCTCATTTGGATCCTGATTCAAACAAAACAAAGAGGTAAAAAATTAAACAGAATAGAGAAAACTGAAGACATTGAATAATGACGAAATATTTGAAGACATTAAGGAGTTATTATAAATTTGGGGGGTGTAATAACGGTGTTGTATTTTTTGGAGTTTTTATCTTTTAAAGATACACAATGAAACGTTTTAGGATAAAATGACTTGATGGTTTGGATTTGCTTTTTAAAAATCCAGGTGGGGGATTGTGGGTGGGAGGATAAAAGAAGTAAGATTGGCCATGAGTTGAGGGTGGGTAATGGCTACATAGGGTTTCATATACTATTCTCTCTAATCTTGTACTTGTTTGAAATTTTACATAATGAGGAAAAAAAAAAAGAGCTAAGTTGAACTAGAGTGGTTGTTAGCTATTTGAAAAGTTCTTCGTTTATTCATTTCACGTTTGTTATGCACCAGGAACCAAGCATCCGTAGAGGGCTTTGCGTGAGGCCCTTGGTGACTGTCAAGGGGTGTAAGCGGCAGTCTGCAGACAGTGCCTGCTTGTGACAGGCGGGGACACTACTGAGAGCTAGGCTGCCCGCCCCCTTCTCTCGGTTGGTAAGAAGGTGTCTATCCCACGACCACGTGAGGCACTTCCGTTTTGGGGGAGGAGCACCAGCCCCCTGGGGGTGTAGACCTTCAGCTCAGCCCCACAGCACTGACCCGATAGTAAACAAGGCCAAAGACGAACCCCAGAGGGCCGAAGCTGAAAACAGCCACCCAAGGCCAGCTCATCACAAGCAAGTGTCTTGTTTTCACACTGTACACCCCACCCCCCAAAAAAGTGGGGAGAGCACTTAAAGGGCTGTTTTGGAACAGAGCCACTTGCTGCATTTGAAACTTAGACCCATGCCTGGTTCAGTGGAGCGAAAGGGAAAACGGATGCCATCCCTGCGGGATACCTACCTCCCAGGGCCCTGCAGAGGGCGTGGCCAGACCCACACTGCAGGAGAGATCAGCCCGAGAGGAGAAAGACGTCTAAGAGCTTTGTGGAAGTTTCTTCCCTTTGGTGCCTGGGCCTCATTACCCAGGCTTGGAGGGTCCGTTCCTGTCCTGTCAAGGTTGGCAGCGGTCATCAGTGCCTCCAGACCAGAGGCCCAACCCAAACTGGCTCCCGAGAGATGTGAACATTTAGTTCTTAAGACACCCGTCCCCTTTGATTAACAAGACCTTTTTGGCTTTGTTCTGAACGATGTGTAGATTGCCAGAGCATGCCCAGCCATGGCACCCCGGTGAAGACTGAGGGCAGAGGAGAGGGATGTCTCCTGGTGCTCCGGTCACTGACATCTGGACTTTCCCAGCAAGGTCAGTATCACACCCTGTGTGCCTCTGGGTCTTGCCCTGACCAGGAAGTGTTCAGAATCAGATCACAGCTCCCTCGTCATTCAAACTCTTCAATGACTTCCCAATTGCTCTGCAGACACATACTAAGATGTTTAACAAGGCCGACAGTGGCCCATGGGTTCTGGCCTGGACACTGGACCTTTGAGCATGTTCCTAAAGCCAGGGCCACGTTCCACACCAGGAATCTCAGGGTGGATGGCATAGCTGGGACCAGACAGACCCCAGTTCACTCTCCCCAGATCACAGTTCAGCCCTGATAAGATACTGAGAGAGAGAATGAGAAAAGGCAAATATCCAGAAAACAAACCTGAAACTCTGCCAGAAGTGTGTCCTCGCTGGTCAAAGAGACCAGCGAAGACCTGGCGTCAGAGTCCAGGGGCCAGTTGGTGGGCTTCCCATTATGTTGGCCCCTGCAACCCCAAAGGAAAACAGAAAGAGAGCATGGTGGGGTTGCTTCGAAGCCAGAGAGCTGGTGAATATAATTTCCCAGGTGCTGGAAGGCAGCTCTGTTTTTTTTGTTTTTTGGGGTTTTTTTGCGGTACGCGGGCCTCTCACTGTTGTGGCCCCTCCCGTTGCGGAGCACAGGCTCTGGACGCGCAGGCTCAGTGGCCATGGCTCACAGGCCCAGCCGCTCCGCGGCATGTGGGATCTTCCCGGACCGGGGCACGAACCCGTGTCCCCTGCATCGGCAGGCGGACTCTCAACCACTGCGCCACCAGGGAAGCCCGGCAGCTCTGTTTGAGGGCCGTAGCAGCAGCAAAATAAAAAGGTTTACACAGCTGGCCCCTCCTCCTCCTCTTTGTCTAGCATCAGGGGCTGTTCCTTTAGCTCCTGGCACCGGCCTCAGAGGTCCAGGGAGTCCGATGTCATGGCTATGCATGTAACGGTGCTCCCGGGGTTATACAGGGCCGTGGTCCCGACTTCACTTTCCCAAGTCAGCTCTGGTGACCCTCCCAACTAGTCCAAATCCCTCTTATGGCTCCAGGACCCCTCTTGGGTGTCAGGGCATAAGTGATCAGTAGCTGTCTCTCTCTCTAGACTAGCCGTAGCTGCTTTTCTGCGGGTTCAGTTTTTCAATGTTATAACCCTACTTGATGGCCCGAGTCCTGACACAGAGGACGTGCTCAATAAATAAGTGCTGAGTTCCTATTTTCTGAGCCCCACCTCCCACCTTGAGCTGTCAGCTCTGGTGCACTGTCTCCAGAAGCATAAATTACCTCTGCGTTAGCACTTTGTCTGCCTTGGAACAGGGACAGTTGGTGCTGAATGACTGCAGCCTAGAGCTAAAAAGCCCCCAAGGCCACTTCCCTGCACATCGGACTCCAGGCATCACTGAGACAAAGGAGCTGTCCCACCGTCCCACCTTTCACACGTGGTTGTCCTTTCTTAACATCTCTTTCCCTTTTGAACTACCCTTGATGCTCATTGGTACCCAAATCCAGGAACATAAAGTTATGCGGTGGGTGAGGATGACGAGGGAGAGGGATGAGGGAGGCAGGTGTGTGGGCGTTGCCAGTGGGCATGCCACGGTGGTGCTCAACTACGTCCCTGTCACCTAACGTCCTCCCTGAACTGATGGCCTTCAGCCAGGAGTCCAGTATTTCATGAATATGCTGAGCAAAAAGCTGTTTTCTGCTAACTGAATCATATTTTTCAATCACCTGCTATCACTGAACATGAAAATGAATTCTCATACAAAGAGATTTCGTGCCTAGTGAGAGAGTGGCATGGACATACATATTCATACACACACTACCAAATGTAAAACAGATAGCTAGTGGGAAACAGCCGCATAGCACAGGGAGATCAGCTGGGTGTTTTGTGACCACCTAGAGGGGTGGGGTAGGGAGGGTGGGAGGGAGGCACAAGAGGGAGGAGATATGGGGATATATGTATATGTATAACTGATTCACTTTGTTTTACAGCAGAAACTAACACACCATTGTAAAGCAATTTTACTCCAATAAAGATGTTAAAAAAAGTGAAGTACAATATAGATACAAAAAAAAAAGTAGCAATGACCATTAAAGGAGAGTTTGTTACAGTATTGTAAATCAACTACACCCCAATATAAAATAAAAATTAAATTTAAAAAAAGAGATTTCATCCCTAAGATATAATACAAATCACAATAATAATATACCAAGCTTATTTTAATCATATCCTTGGAAAACTAGATACTTCTGATAAAGATTAGTAAAAATCACTCCATATACGAACACAGTACCAAAACTCTAAAGGATTGCTAAATCCTGGTCTTCCTTTGGGATGAGCCACGCACCCTTACCTTGAGTGGCCTACCTTTGTAGCCTATGGAAAATACTTTCTTTTAAACTCTGATGGTTTAGTCTGTCTCTTCTAAAGTCTGTGAATCTGTTCTGGTTGTTGTTACACAGCCCAGATTCTGGGAGATTAAGAGCACCTCAGTATTTTTATAAAGAAGGTGAGCTTATCTTGACCATAAAGATTGTTTCCATGACATGATTTTCCAGGTGTTGACACAGCAGCTCTATTCTGTCTAATTTAACAGATCTCATCTATGTGTAGGGAGGTGCTCGTGTTCTGTTGGCCACTGGGTCCAGCACAAATCCCATGCTGGGGTGGGCACCTCAAGCTTCAGCCTTGCTAGAGAGAACATCGACAGCTGAGAGTCACTGTGATGTGTCTCTCCGTGGTAACTTAAGGATTTATTGACATCATCGTCCTATTATTTTTTTAATTAATTTTTATTGGAGTGTGGTTGCTTTACAATGTTGCATTAGCCTCCACTGCACAACAAAATGAATCAGCCATACACATACAGATATCCCCTCGCTTTTGGACTTCCCTCCCATTTAGGTCACCACAGTGCATTAGGTAGAGTTCCCTATGCTACACAGTATGTTCCCATCAGTTGTCTATTTTATGAGCCAGCTATCTAATACTGTTCTAACAGAAGACATTATTTTATTCCATTTAATTTATTTATTTTTGCAGCCTTTAAGATGCCAGAGTCCTCAAGGGACGCCAGATGGCAACCAAGTTCTTGTACGTATGAAGATCCCCAGCTGAGAACAGGAACTGGGAAATCTCCATTTGAGCCCGTTTTCTATTCCCTGCTTCCTTCCCCTACCCCCATTCTCACTACTGTGGAAACTCCCAAAGTCACAGCAATAGTGAGTTTTCCCTTGGCTACTGGAGCTCAAATTAAAACACCAGTGCATTCCAGTGGGAAAGGGGTGGGTGGTGAATAAACAGGTGAAATTTCCTGATCCTGAGCCATATCCAGGGGATTTCTAGCTCGATTGGAAGTGCATATCCCCACCCTAGCCTAATTTTTAACAGTCAGAGAGATTCTACCTCCCATTTCCCCCTTCCCCACCTCGAATGGTATCTGTCAGGCTTCCTGGGCTTCTCTGTTGTCTAACTTCTGAAGGTCACAGCATAGAACACTTCAGTTGTCAGCAAAAAACTAAAACTCTGTGCCCCCAGCCGCATAGTCTCTAGCGAGGGAGGGAGCATATTTCCTCATAGCGGGGAGGAGAGAAGCAGGCAGAGTCCTCATCTCCCAGCTGTGTCTCTTCTATCTGCTCAGCATCAGGGCCGGTCCTGAAACGGGAGCAGAAAGCACAAAATGCATTACAGCCCACAGCACCGCTCTCAGAACCAATGCCACCATCCTGGCAACGGGCCACACGGAGATCTGCAGTCTCCCACCACCTTCCTTACAGACCAAACACAGCCATAGACCTGACTGCCACAGCTGGAAGGGGAGCATCGCCAAGGCACACATCCTACCTGTCATTTCCACCGTCCACGAAGGAAAGGTAGTCCTGGTCATCAACAAAGGCAGCATTCTCTGGAGGGTAGATGGTGTAGTACTGAGGAGGGCTTGGCATGGTGGCCACCATCCCTCCAGATGGTATGAGGCCACACGGGTTCACCACTGGCTGCAGGTAGGTGGTGTTCATCCCCATGGGCTCTTGAGAGCCATAAGGGGGAGGGATGTACTGCACCACGGTGGCCCCATGGAAGGTGATGGGTTGGTTGATACCAGTGAAAACAAACGATTGTCCTCCTGCCATCTGCTCTGAGTCCGGGAGCCTCTCCTCACTTTCTCTGCACAATTGGCAAGAGAGCATTTTGAACTTGCAGATGGCAATCAGGATGAATGTCACCCCCACTGACAGCAGGATGGGCCCAAGGAGCTGGGTCCATTCAAAGTGGGAGGCTCCTTGGTGTTTGATCCAGCCCATGATGGTGAACGTGATCCCCACCAGTCCCAGGAAGATGCCTGAGAAGAGCAAGGTGGCCCCCGCCTTGTCGTCATCCGACACCTGGATGTCAGCAGTACTGGGTGTGTAAGGAGTGACCGAAAACACGTTGAGAGGGAAATCTTCCATGCGACCGCGGCCCTGCTCCATCATCCTTACACTGCTTCAAGGGGAAAGAGGTTGTGAGAGCTCCTGAGAGCAGAGCAAAGGCATCCCAGGTTCAGATTAGTTATGGAAGAACTTTGGGCTTCTGTGCTTAACAGAGTAGAACATGCAGAGCGCTGAACTTTGTTTAGAAGAATAAAGGTCTGAGAAATGAAGCCTGAATCTTTCTCATATATTGTCAACAATTGGAGGCCTCTGATTTGCAATTCAATGGCAAGCTCTCTCTCTTCCCATTCATTCACTCATTCAGAAAGTTTTTACTGAGCCCATCTTATGTGCCAGGCAGTACTTTTTTAGATGTGTTAGGCACTGCTCCAAGGCTCTGTTTGCATCCTACCCAAACCAAGATTGTAGAAATAGCAGAGGACCCCCCCCCCCCCAGGGCCTCTGGTTGTGCAGGGACCCTTGATGTGTCCACCACATGCTCAGGAATCTAACCCAACTTTCCTGCTGGGTCAGCTCACTAGAAACACAGACCTGTTTCATGACTGTCTGTTTTCCTTCCCACCCCAGGAATCCCTAGTTGTGATGACACTTAAACTCTCATGGCAGCTCTCACAAAGCTCTGAGGTCCTGCTCTTTCCTGGCCAGCTCCAAGTGCCTTGGCTTTCAGCATTTGGGGAACAATTCCAGCTGTGGGAGAGGAAAGACACCCTAGAGGCCTTTCCATGCACCACGTCATTGTCAGAGCATCAGGTATGACCTGGGGTCTCAGGGACACGCACTTCAGACCCTGGCTCGGTAGTGGCAGCACAGTCCCCAGTTTCCATCGTGAAGTAAACAGCTGGATTTTCAAGTCTGCTGTGTTTTGCAACCAAACCCAAGCTGATTTCAAGAAGAAAACTTGCCCTTCAATGACATGATCTGTCATTCATAACTACAGAACTTCAGAAGAGCCCCAACCAATTTCGTCCTCCACAGAATAGTAACTGTAGCCCTGTAACTTTCCTAGACAGATCTTCTCCAAACAGATGTGTCTCTTCAGGGGTTAAATATTATATCAGCTCCCTTTTGCAGGCATGAGCTCAAGGTCCAGGAGGAGTTGCCCTCTTGCCCTAGGGCAGGGCTTCCCAAACTTGCCTGATGATAAAAATCACCTGGGCCACTTTTTTTAAATGGCAGCATGTGAGTTCCCAACTCAGTTCAACAGAACCAACATTTCCAAGGGAGAGTAAGTGCCTCAGGTGGTTCTTATCATCAGAAATCTTTGGAAACCCTACGTTTATCCCAAGTGCTCCTGGGAAACCAGGGGACTTTTTTCCCTTCCAAAATGCCTCTCCCTGCTACAGGACAAGGCTGGTGATCTTCAACTTCACTGCCAAACAGAAGGGAAAGCAAGCAGGTGACCCCCTCAGGTATCTCCCCGTGCGTGTCCTCCAGCAGCAAGGATGGAGTGGTGTTGCAGTAGGAGGGGTCTGCCCCTTTTCCCACTGGGATAGATCAGAGATCCAGGGGAGCCAACTTTTCTCTTTAATCATAAAAATTCTGGTCAGCTAGGCTGACATTCTTTTCAGGCTCTTAACCCCTGAAAGTCCCCGGCATTTAGAAAGAGCTAGGCTCTCCAAATTGTTCTTCTAAACCACTCAGTTTATGTTTCGCATTTGTCTTTAGCTACATCCATTTGCAATTACGACAACTGGGAACACTGAAAGAGCAGGGGGAGAGAGAGCACCTTCCTCTAAACAGCTCGTGAATCCAAAACTGGAATGGCTTTCAGAGCAGACTGGTGAGGAAATTCTAGTTATACTTCCTTTTTATTTTATTTTATTTTATTTATATTTTATTGAGGCATAGTTGATTTATTATATTAGTTTCAGGTGTACAACAAAGTGATTCAAAATTTTACAGATTATACTCCATTTAAAGTCATTATAGAATATTGGCTATATTGCCTCTGCTGTACAATATATCCATGTAGCTTATTTATTTAATACATAGTAGTTTGTACCTCTTAATCCCCTTCCTGTGTCTTGTCCCTTCCCCCTTTCCCTCTCCCTACTGGTAACCACTGGTTTGTTCTCTATATCTGTGAATCTGTTTCTGTTATTCATTCATATGTTTTATTTTTTAGATTCCACATATAAATGATAACATACAGTATTTGTCTTTCTCTGTCTGACTTATTTCACTAAGCATAATACCCTCCAACTCCATCCATGCTGTTGCAGATGGCAAAATTTCATTCATTTTTATGGCTGGGTAATATTCCATTGTATATATGTATACCACATCTTCTTTATCTATTGATCTATTCATGAACACTTAGGTTGCTTCCATATCTTGGCTATTGCAAATAATGCTGCTCTGAACATTAGGGTGCATGTATCTTTTATATTGAAGTATAGTTGATTTACAATGTTGTGTTAGTTTCAAGTGTACAGCAAAGTGATTTAGTTATATACATATATGTGTATGTATTTTCAGATTATTTTCCATTATAGGTTATTACAAGATATTGAATATTGTTCCCTGGGCTATACAGTAAATCCTTGTTGCTTATTTTATGTATAGAAGTGTGTATCTGTTAACCCCATACTCCTAATTTATCCCTCTCCCCGCACCCCGCACCTTCCTCTTTGGTAACCATAAGTTTGTTTTCTATGTCTGTAAGTCAGTTTCTGTTTTGTGTCTTTTTGAATTAGTGTTTTCATTTTCTTTGGATATATACCCAAAGAATTGCTGGGTCATAGGGTAGTTCTATTTTTAGTTCTTTGAGGAACCTCTGTCATGTTTCCACAGTGGCTGCACCAGTTTACATTCCCACCAACAGTGTACAAGGGTTCCCTTTTCTTCACATCCTCATTAACATTTGTTATTTGTATTCTTTTTGATGATAGCCATCCTGACAACTGTGAGGTGATATCTCATTGTGGTTTTGATTTGCGTTTCTCTGATGATTAGTGATGTTGAGCATATTTTCATGTGCAGATTGGCCAGGTGGTCATTTGGAAAAAATGTCTACTTAGGTCTTCTGCCCATTTTTCTATTGGGTTATTTGTTTTTTAATATTAAGTTGTATAAGCCATTTATATATTTTGGATATTAACCCTTTATTGGTCATATCATTTGCAAATATTTCCTTCCATTCAGTAGGTTGTCTTTTTGTTTTGTCAATGGTTTCCTTTGCTGTGCAAAAGCTTTTAAGTACCATTTGTATATTTTTGTTTCCTTTAACTTAGGAGACAGATTCAAAACAACTATTACTATGATTTATGTCAAAGAGTGTTCTGCATCTGTTTTCTTCTAGGAATTTTGTGGTTTCTGGTCTTACATTTTGCTCTTTAATCTATTTTGAGTTTATTTTTGTATAAGGTATGAGAAAATGTTCTGATTTCATTGTTTTACATGTAGCTGTCCAGTTTCTCAGCACCACTTATTGAAGAAAATATCTTTTCCCCATTGTATATTCTTGCCTCCTTTGTCACAGATTAATTGACCATAAGTGTGTGGATTTATTTCTGGGCTTTTTATTCTGTTCCATTGTTCTATGTGTTTTTGTGCCAGTACCATATTGTTTTGATGACTGTATCTTTGTAGTATAGTCTGAAGTTAGGGAGCATGATACCTTCAGTGCTGTACTTCTTTCTCAAAATTGTTTTGTCTATTCAGGGTTTTTTGTGCTACCATACAAGTTTTAAAATCATTTTTTCTAGTTCTAGGATAAAGGCCATTGGTATTTTGATAGGGATTGAATTGAATCTGTAGATTGTCTTGGTAGTATAGTCATTTTAACAATATTTATTCTTTCAATCCATGAATACGGAATATCTTTCTACTTGTGTTGTCTTCCATTTCAGACATTCCAGACAGACAGACACTGTCTTCCATCAGTGTCTCATAGTTTTCTGAATATAGGTCTTTTACCTCCTTAGTTAGATTTATTCCTAGGTATTTTATTCTATTTAATGCAATTGTAAATCCTTAATTTCTCTTTCTCATAGTTTGTACTTAGAATATAGAAATGCAACAGATTTCTGTATATTTATTTTGTGTCCTGCAACTTTACCAAATTCATCAATGAGCTCTAGTAGTTTTTTTGTGGTGTCTTTTGGATTGTGTATGTATAGTATCCTGTCATCTGCAAAGAGCAACAGTTTTACTTCTTCCTTTCCAATTTGGATTCCTTTTTCTTATCTGATTGTTATGGCTAGAACTTCCAGTACTATGTTGAATAAAAGTGGCAAGAGTGGGCATCCTTGTCTTGTT